AATATCAATCATATGGCTGGGTGTTGTGTGGCTCATGCCTGTAATCCCAGCACTCTGGGAGGCCAAGGTGGGTGGATTGCCTGAGCTCAGGAGTTTGAGACAAGCCTGGGCAAGAGTGAGACCCTATCTCTAAAATAATAGTTGGGCTTTGTGGCGGGTGCCCATAGGTCCAGCTGCTCAGGAGGCCGACGCAAGAGAATCACTTAAGCCCAAGAGTTTGAGGTTGCTGTGAGGTATGATGCCACGACACTCTAGTGAGGGTGACAAAGTGAGACTCTGTCTTAAAAAAAAAAAAAGAATATCAGATGAGATCATGTGGAATCAAAAGAATAAAACAATGCATACGAGGTCATACCAGATCAATACATTTCCTGTTTTCTCGTGGTATGTTCATTCCTTCTGAAAAAAGAGTCAATCTCGATCGGTTTCTTATCCTTATTACAAAGGTTAGTGGAGAAAGCACTCTCAATGTTCGCTACGCTGCTCAGCATACCTGAGCATTTTCCCACAGCAAATGGCTCCAACTACATTATTGGATGCCTGACATCTTTTCTTCTGGAGTCCCTGCAATTTTGGTGTCATCCTCACTGTCTTCTTCCATTTTATCAGCTGCTTCATGCACTTTTACATTGATCTGTACTTTGGTCACTATCGCTGGGAAAATTGTGTCAGGGTCACATTCATTATAGAGTGCCACAATAAAACCTTACGCCTTGAATTTTGGCATGGGAGATGGACAGTCTGATGGGGCAAAAACATCATGCTCTTGGGTTATGACAAATCCAATTTTCTTGAAGCACTTCAGTATCCTTTCTGGTTGAGCTTTATTCCAAGTAGACCGGTCCAGAGGACAGCACCCAGAGTGTTAACTGATGTCGTGGATGAAGTTGCTTCCGCAGGTGGACCATAGGTTTGTGTCTTAGTATGACTCACTGGAGGAACTGGGCCTGGTCGTATATTTTAAATGTTTTCATGATATCTCGGTCAAGAAATTGGATTTTTAAGGTCATGTTTAGAAGCAGAAATTTCAGTGTCACATTTGTGAGATGATTCACTTGTGGTGACTAGGATGGTTGTCTATTGTCAGAGGAATAGATCCTTTCTTCTTCATTTCTCCGTCGATACCCCTTACTCACTCCTCAAATAGGGCACCAGTCATCCATCTGCACTGTTTCGATCTCTAAGTGACAGGGTGGTCTTTGATCTTCAGGTTCTTGAATGTACGTGGCTTTGACAATTTATCAAACATCAAGGGTTTTAGCTTCTCTCCAGTTGAGCTAGAACAAAACAGAACTGTGACATGTTCTTTGGCAGGTTTTTACATTTGTCACCCTTCATGATGAGACTCTTGTCAGGTATTGACAGAGTCCACATTCATCAGCACTAAAGATGTCAGCGTGTTTGAAGCCTCTAGTGAAGTCCGGGACCTTTTTGATGAGCCCTTCCAAAACTTCTATTGGAACTTCATTAGATTCACCACACAAGACTTTCTGGGAGATCATGTGTCATGGTTTAAATTTCCTCTTGATGCTTGGAAATCTGCCACCCCAAATTCTTGCATGTTTTTTTTTTTTTTAGCAACATCTTGGATGATTGCCCTAGGGAGTCAGGTGTTGACTGCCCTCATTTATTTGAACCAGCTTAATGTGGCTTCATTGACTTCATCACTCCCCACTCGTCCCTGCTGCCCCCCACCCCCATGTAGCTACGTCTGGATGGCAACGAACTGTGTAGTGCATGTGTGGGGCCCTGGGGCTGGCCTCTCTCAGGGCGGGATCCCCCCCTTCTGCTCATCCCAGGGAGGCCGCCTTGGGCTGCTAGAAACTTTGTTAGTGTTTGTTCCAGTCTGTTAATGCGGGGTGAGGAGGGCAGATGGAACCCTCTGGGTTAAGGCCTAGTAGAGAAAAGGCTCAGAGAAGCCCAGCCAGAGTTTGGCCAAGGAGAGAGAGAAAGCGTCTTTGTCGCTGTGCTGCCGTGGAGGTGAGCACAGAGCAGGCTACAGAGCAAGACTCTGTCTCCCCAAATAAATAAACAAAACTATATAATTTTAAAAACCAGATATTGTTCCACACCTTAGTGTTTAGTATTTTATTTCTGTTTATATCTGTGGCATTTTGATACAGAAATGCCCTATATGGTATGGACTCTGCGTCACATGCTCTGTAGCTGGGCTGAGGACAGGGTAGATTACTAAGGGCAAAGTTTTAAAACGAGAAGTCCATCTACTGTTAGGCTTTATTAACTACTGTCGCGTTAAAGAAGGAAGCTATTAGATCTCTGGAAGTTGTTGCTTACTTTTCCTCCTCAGATTTAAAAAAAATTTTTTTTTTTTAAATCAGGCCCTAGCAAGAGTCCAACTCATGACCTCTGGTTTGCAAGGCCAGTGATCTAAGCACTTAGCAACAGTGCCCAGACTAGATTTTCTTTATTGGCAGATCCTTGCTTTGCCGTTACCAAGAGATTCCCTGCCAAGCAGTGGCATCTGGGAAGTAGAACCCCCAAATTCTCTAACTGTCTTTCTTTCTTGGAGTCTAAAAGAATAAAAGTGGCTGTTTAAATCCAGTTTCTCTTTCCTCTTGTGCCAATGAAAGAAAAGCAATGTACAGAAAGCCTGCGTTTGAACGTGACACGGCAGAGGCAACACACACTCACTCCACAAATCTCCAGGTCTCCCCAGACTGGGGGGAGTCTCAGATGCTAACTGGTGTAACTGACCGCTTATTAGAGCAGCAGATGAAATCTTACCCGGAGGTCTGATACAGGAAACAAGAGCCACCCCGCTCAGGTTGAAAGGATGACAGACCTCAGGCCCGCCCCTTCCGCGACCAGACTCAAATTGCTCCACAAGCTTTACAGCTGAGCTTGAAACCCCTGCTTTGGTCCCCTTGTTACATTTCCTCCTTAGCACATGGGTGCCGGTGACATGAAGGGACTTACTTCCGTTCACACTGGCCAGAAATCTTAATTTCCCTTTTCCTTAAGCTAGCACCCTCAACACTATGTCATGTGCCGTTTTATTTTGAAAATGTTTGCAGATGTTAAATCAAAGTATGTTTCTTTTTTTTTTTTTGAGACAGAGC